GAGAAGAAGTCATTGACTAGGCTGAAATTTACTAGTTGTGGAACCGTAACACAAACTAGCAGGAGAAGTTTAAATAGATGCACAATGCACCGACCAAGTAAAACTTAACTCTTAGTAATGCCCCCATAAACTAGCTTATATTAATATTTTATAGCCCTGCAACCGTAACTTATTGTAGTAACACAATGTCACCAAACCTTAGATCTCAGTTTTACTGGCTGAGATAAATTTTTTTCAAAAAGGACAATCAAAATTATACATTCACATTTCAGCCTAAAGCCGACATCTGTATGTGATGACAGCATGTAAATCTCAGATTCATATGGTACATTACAGTGAACTTTTCTTGTTGCACCCAATTTAGAGAACTAAAATTTTCTCCCTTTTGTATACCATATAAGGCAGATGACCTTTAATTATTCGGAATCACATTTAAAGGATCCAGATCCTGTTCAGGCTTGCCCAAGAAAATACCCACTGTTATTCTAGAGACCAACACAACAAACACAAGTTCTTTTCGTTTCCAATTTTTGCAACTTTTGTTCCTTTTATGCATTGTAATTTGGTCAAACATTGTGCTACTTGTGATACTCATTGCCTTTGTTTCTCAATACAGAATTTTGGAAACAAGTTCCTCCAAATGAACCCTACCGTGTGATTCTTGGTGATGTAAGGGATAAGCTTTATCATACACGTGAACGTTCTCGTCAGTTGTTAGCTAGTGGGCACTCTGACATTCCCGAGGAGGCAACATTGGCCAGTGTTGAGCAGGTACTGCCATTCTTAAGAAATATTGCATGATCGCAGTCTATCAGATACAGTATCAAATTATAACTTCCCCCTTTATTCTCCTAATGTGGTTAATCTGTTCAAGTCCTAATTGAGATTTAAATTATGCGTAGTTCTTGGAACCTCTGGAACTCTGTTACAGATCACTCTGCTCTTGTGGTGACCGGGCAATTGCTGATGGATCGCTTCTTGATTTCTTAAGGCAAGTGTCTACCTTTGGACTTTCATTGGTGAGACTTGATATTAGGCAAGAATCTGACCGGCATACTGATGTGATCGATGCGATCACCAAGCATCTGGAAATTGGTTCCTATCGAGAGTGGTCTGAAGAACGCCGCCAGGAGTGGCTTTTATCTGAACTAAGTGGAAAGCGTCCATTGTTTGGCCCTGATCTTCCAAAAACTGAAGAAATTTCTGATGTTTTGGACACTTTACATGTGATATCAGAACTTCCATCTGATAACTTTGGAGCATACATCATCTCCATGGCGACTGCTCCATCTGATGTGCTTGCAGTTGAGCTCCTGCAACGTGAATGCCATGTGAAGAAATCACTAAGGGTCGTTCCACTGTTTGAGAAGCTTGCAGATCTGGAGGCTGCTCCTGCTGCTCTGGCTCGGCTCTTCTCGATTGATTGGTATAGAGACCGGATCAATGGAAAGCAAGAAGTTATGATTGGGTACTCAGATTCTGGTAAAGATGCAGGACGTTTCTCTGCAGCCTGGCAGTTATACAAGGCACAGGAGGATCTTATAAAGGTTGCTAAGCAATTTGGTGTGAAGCTAACTATGTTCCATGGTCGTGGTGGGACTGTTGGAAGGGGAGGTGGGCCCACCCATCTTGCTATATTGTCTCAACCACCAGATACGATTCACGGTTCACTCCGTGTCACTGTCCAAGGTGAAGTTATTGAGCAGTCATTTGGAGAGGAGCTCTTGTGTTTTAGAACACTCCAGCGTTTCACAGCTGCTACCCTAGAGCACGGAATGCAATTGCCAGTTTCACCAAAACCAGAATGGCGCGCACTTATGGATGAAATGGCTGTTGTAGCTACAGAGGACTATCGTTCCATTGTTTTCCAAGAACCCAGATTTGTCGAGTATTTCCGTCTTGTAAGCATTTATGAACTTACTCTAATCATATTCGTTTTTCTGCTCTGATGAATTTCAATTTAATGACCGTTGTGTATTTGTGATCTAGGCTACACCAGAGCTGGAGTATGGTCGGATGAACATTGGAAGCCGGCCCTCAAAGCGAAAGCCTAGTGGGGGCATTGAGTCACTTCGTGCAATCCCATGGATTTTTGCCTGGACACAAACAAGGTTCCATCTTCCTGTGTGGTTAGGCTTTGGAGAAGCCTTCAAGCATGTCATTCAGAAGGACATTAAGAATCTTCACATGCTGCAAGAGATGTACAATCAATGGCCTTTCTTTAGGGTCACTATTGATTTGGTTGAAATGGTGTTTGCAAAGGGAAACCCTGGAATAGCTGCTTTATATGATAAACTCCTTGTCTCAGAAGACCTATGGTCATTTGCAGAGCGATTAAGGTCCAAATATGAAGAAACCAAGAACCTTCTGTTACAGGTATAATGCATATGCTTCTCTTGTTACATATCATGTTCTCTTTGAACTCGATTTGTTTTGACCCCAAGTCCAAAATTTCACAGTTTAAGGCTATTCTCATAAGTTCATAACCCATATTGGTTAGTGCAATGAAAAACACATCTGTTCAGCTTTGTTAGGTTGAGTAGAGTCAGCATAATATCTGCTAACCATGAGGCGTTTGTGGTGACTAATTACTGCATAAATTAATTTTTTCATTTTCTGTTGGTAGATTGCTGGACACAAGGATCTTCTTGAAGGGGACCCGCACCTGAAGCAAAGACTCCGCCTGCGTGATTCATACATCACAACCCTTAATGTTTGCCAAGCATATACACTGAAACGGATCCGTGATCCAACCTTCCATGTGACGCTGCGGCCACACATCTCAAAGGACATTACAGAAGCAAACAAGCCCGCTAATGAACTTGTGAAACTGAACCCAACAAGTGAGTATGCGCCTGGTTTGGAGGACACCCTCATCTTGACAATGAAGGGTATTGCTGCTGGCTTGCAGAACACTGGTTAAATGTGTTTTTGTGCTCATTCCCTTCTACTTTTCTGTGTATCTACAGATGGGCTGTGTCCCAAAAACTAAGTTATAACTTACCCCAAGTGGATGCCTTTTAATCATTCACCTGAAGGTCAAGATATTTGAGTGAACTTTTTAAGTTTTATGATCAGATTGCTGTGCACAATAACTACAGCCAGCCCGCATTGTAATTCTTCCTACAGAAGAAATTAAACTCAGTGGAACTGTTTGTTATGCTTCAATACAAATGGCGTTGTGTGTTTCATGTTTAATACCTTGGTGTTATATGGCAATAGGGTCTAGCTCAATGGAAAAGGATATTGACTTGCAGACTAGTGGTCTCAGGTTCGAACTCTCTTGACACCGTGATAATGTGTGTGAGAAACCCCCCTCCCGTGTAGTTTAGACTATGGATGCCCAAAATTTCAAGAACGGGTACTTTTCAATCATTTTATTACATAATAAAGAATCTTCAATGCTAACATGTACAAACAAAAACAGGACCATGATAATTTATCAAGGTCACCAATTTTAAAGTATCAAAATTTGAACTTCGGGGACATCAAATGTTAAAATCATTTTATCAACCAAAAAAGTTCAAATTTTTATTCGTAAAAATTAAAACAAAAAAATGATAGAAAGGAAAAATAAAAATAAATTTATGACAAATATTCCAATTTGAACGACACAAATGTAATTAGAGTGACCCTGAATATTGCCTAAGGAGTACTGATGAAAGTAAAAAAACCAAAAAGACTATAAACCTGTAAAGATAAGAACAACACATTTCAAGCTACATTAACCTCTCCACTCTCGCCACTGCTAACGTCAATATGTTTTTGTTATTTTTATTTTACTTTATCCTTATTTATAGAGAATATTTTTTGGACATGAACTCTTATTTTCCTTTTGTTTAATTATTTTCATTTTAATAGATTATTATGTGTTTGTCCCCTCAAATTTTTTTTTTTGGTATAAGTGATTGGAAAAGGGGGGCATGAATGCAATTTTGAGTTATTTGAAAATTTAGTCATAAGAATCTTTTACTTTATATATATGTAGTGAGTTTTTATTGAAGGATCAGTCAAATAAGCTTATTTGATGGACACCCTTGTAGGGCCCATTCCGTATTGTATTTCACTAATTCAAACAATCTATTTTGTAGATATACATTCAAAAATCATCTCTACAAAAAATCACTTGAATCCGATATCATTTGACCACTCACTTAGTTATTTAAATTTTAGTATTTTCTTAAAGTACCGTATTCATTGATTTTGTAGGATACAATACAAATGGACAAAAACCTCTTCCCAGAACAAACAAATTCATCCTCAGCACAACCCATCTCTCTCTTCGGCCCAACCAGATTCGTTGAATCTTCTCTCTGAGGTTTTTGTTATCGTCAAAAATTGGAAGAAAGATGATGTTAAGAAGGCCATGGCCATGCCTATGAATTTCTGCTGCAACCCACTTCGTGGATATGGATTTGATGGGTGTTTGATTCCTTAGAAGGCCATGGTCAAGCAAAACAAAAGGGTTTTTTCATCATCATCATCATCTTCTTCTTCTTCCTTGGATACGTTGGCTGAAGTTGCAACCCAACAATTGATGGAGTTGGGGGATGGGAATGGACTCACAATCGAGTGGGTTTTTGATGAAAAAGTTGTTCTTGCAGAATTCATTAGTTTCTGTGCTAAAAAGAAAAGGTGATATGCAGTTTTTGTGGGAAAAAGGTGATATGCAGTTTTTGACAGAAAAATTAACAGAGTTTGACGGAGGGACTACTGGTGCAACATAGCACCTAGTTGAGTGACCCCTGCAACTAATAATTGAATTGACGGACCAAAGTGTAACTATGGGTATAGTTGAGGGACCATTGTTGCGAATAACCCATATGAAAAAATAAGGCCAGCTTGTTTGCTTTTTTCCTTTTTAATTATGATTTTGTAGATTGTTTTAACCTTTTTCCAAATAAAATAGTTGTTTTTTGGTCAATAGAAATAAAATAGTGATAGTTTTTCAGGCTAAAGGTGTTTGGGAAATAAAAAAAATTGAAACTTTAACATTGGTGGTGGTCTTAAATCTTCAAAGTTTCTTAATTTACTTTGCAACAAAGCAAAGGATCATTTTCCTCTAGAGACTCATTTCACTGAAGGCTCGCTCGCTTCTCCTTCTCTGTTCTGTAACAGAGTGACCCAGAAAAGCTATAGCAGAGTTCACTGTAGTTTATAGCCTTTACCAGTCACCATGTCTCTGTCCACGAGGTTGAGACGTCCTCAGCCGTCTGATCCTTTTGCATCATCATCATCACCATCTTCATCTTATTCAAAAGTCGATAAGCAAGGGAAATCGGGTGACGCCGATGGGTTTGACAAAGGGTTTCGTTGGTTCTTTCCCTTGGTCGCTTTGGGAATGCTAAGGTACATGAGCGCTACATCAAACATCATACACGACTGTGACGAGGTCTTCAACTATTGGGAACCTCTGCATTACCTTCTCTACAAATCTGGGTTCCAAACTTGGGAATACAGGTACCCTTCCAATTGCTTTTGAAACTTTTCTTTCTCTGAAGTGGAAATTTTGTTCATTTCTTTCGTGCTTGTATCTGGGTTTGGCTTGTTTTTACTTTTTGGGTTTTATTTTATTTTGTTTCTTGTTTATAGTAAACTATTAGGCTCTGCGAAATTTTGTTCATTTCTTTCGTGCTTGTATCTGGGTTTGGCTTGTTTTTACTTTTTGGGTTTTATTTTATTTTGTTTCTTGCAAATTTCTTGTTTCTTGTTTATAGTAAACTATTAGGCTCTGATTTTGTCCCTGGATTAAATTTATTGGGAAATTTAGTTGTTATTGAGAATTTTAGTTTTTTGTTACTCAAAGTTAGCATTACAGCTCATGAACCAATTGCAGCCTTCTTATGGAATCAATTTGATTTCTTTCTTAATTGCACTTTCGTAACTACAAGTGAATCTCACAGTATAATGGCTTTGGGATCATCCATTTGATTCTTACAAACTGACATTAGAATTTGTACCTAATGGCATAGAGATATATGATTTGGATTAGCATTTTTAGGTGGAATTAGATGCTCATAACCATGGTCAGAAATCTTATCCTTTGCTGCGTGCTCTTAAAATACTGTGCATCATGGCTGTTGAAAATTTGATTTTCAGTGGTATCATTTTCTATCTTAGAAATCCTTTCATCTATGATTTTTATTGTTATATGCCTCTTGCAGTTCTCAGTTTGCACTTCGGTCATATTTATACATTCTTTTCCATGAATTGGTGGGTCGACCGGCTTCCTGGTTGTATGCTGAGGAAAAAGTAAGAATTTTTTCCCAGTGACTTTTGAACTGTTACCTTCTTATAATTGAAATTTAATTTTCTGTCTTAAATTCCGTTGGTCTGAAACAATTTCTTTTTGTTTACAGGTGAGAGTATTCTATGCTGTTAGACTCTTTCTTGCTTTCCTTTCTGTTATCACTGACACTGTTCTGGTAGTTGCTCTTTCAAGAAAGTACGGGAAACGCCTTGCTTCTTACACGCTTGCAATGCTATGCTTAACCAGCGGTTGTTTTTTTGCAAGCACAAGTGGGTGGGCCATTTCCATTTTTCTCCTTTGATCTGTACATTCCATTTCAGGATTTCTTACTTCACAAATTTTTATTTTTTTGATTATTCATTTTTGTTTTCAGTTTTCTTACTGTTATATCTCTTACTTTTCTGGAGCTATTTATTCCATGAAATGTGAAATGACAATGCTTATGACATTATTTTCCAGGTTTTTTGCCCAGTTCGTTCTCTATGTATGCCATGTCTCTTTCATCAGGGTTATTTCTTCTTGATAAACCTGCCATGGCAGTTACAGTTGCAGCCGTAGGCGTAATCCTTGGCTGGCCATTCTCAATTTTGGCTTTTTTGCCTGTCACATTTTACTCTCTAGCTAGAAGATTCAAACAAGCTTTTCTTGCCGGAGCAGCCACCTCTGTTGCTCTTCTTGTAAGTCAATGGTTGGCACATTTTTGTTGGATGTACAAAGTACATGCCTGTAATTGTCACACAGAGTTTTAAATGTCTCATTTTAAGTTTTCTGTTTTTTAATTTAATTTTTTTTTATTATGCTTATGATTATATGTTGAATATATCTTTTAGGTATTGTCGGTTCTCGTTGATCACTACTACTACAACAAATGGACATCATCTGTGTTAAATTTGTTGATCTATAACGTTGCAGGAGGTGGTGAGAGCCACTTGTACGGAACTGAGGGGCCACTATTTTATATTAGGAATGGATTTAACAATTTTAACTTTTGTTTCGTACTTGCATTGCTTTTTCTGGCAATACTGCCGATTGCAAGGAAAAAGTATGCACCCAGCTTGCTCATTGTTGTCTCGCCTATATATATTTGGTTGGTGTTCATGTCTTTGCAACCACACAAAGAAGAGAGGTTCGAATAATCTTACCTTTTATGATATCCGGGCAAGCCTATTATATACCACTTCTCTTAAATTGATTGAATTAGAACATATTCCTGCTAGTTTCGTATTTGCTCATCTTGACAGTACATTTTCAATTGACCAAAATTTCTCATATTTGCACAGTTGTGCATTTGCCATTAACAAAAAAACTCAAATGATGTTGAGAGGCCGAGTGTGTTGATATTTCCATCTATACTTTCTCCTGTATCCTACTTTTTTTTTTTCTTCTAAATCTTTTCTCTAATTTCTCTGGAATTACAGTAACTACAAATATTCTTCTTGTTCTGACATCCACATCTCACCATAATCATAGGCAGCACTCACCTTGTGCTTTCCTGCAACCAAAAAAAAAAAAAAATTCAATATCGTTTGTTATCTTTTTCACAGGTCTCCTTTCCAGTCTGTGCATTTCTGAGTAGCCAGGGTCATAGTTTCAGATCTGAATGTTTTGACATTTAATGAATCACTTTGATGGAAATTCTTAAGATGATATGAAAATTGTTCAATGTTATTTAACTGCAGGTCAGATGTGAGTGATAACTAGATATTTCCAAAAAAAAAAAAAAAAAATCAATATCGTTTGTTATCTTTTTCACAGGTCTCCTTTCCAGTCTGTGCATTTCTGAGTAGCCAGGGTCATAGTTTCAGATCTGAATGTTTTGACATTTAATGAATCACTTTGATGGAAATTCTTAAGATGATATGAAAATTGTTCAATGTTATTTAACTGCAGGTCAGATGTGAGTGATAACTAGATATTTCCAATTGTCGTTGCAGGTTCCTTTATCCAATATATCCACTAATTTGCGTTGCTGCTTCGGCTGTCATAGAGAGCTTTCCTGATGTTTTCCGATCTGATTATGATTCCCAAGGCAATTCTCCGATGGTTATGGTGAGCATTTATCCTATATTTCACAAAATTTGATAAATTATCTCTATGAACCTCACAGTATTGCTGCTTGTACATGTAGACGGCAAAGATTCTAAGACCGGTGGTTCTTGGCCTCATATTATGTGCCTCCCATGCTCGTACGTTTTCAGTGATCAATGGCTATTCTGCCCCTTTAGAGGTTTACAAGCTTTTAGAAGATCATGACAATGCAGGAACAGGTAAGACAAGTATCTTGCTGTTACCCATTTATTGACCTTGCGATGGAGTGCATTGTCAACAAAGTTCCTTCAATGTTTGGTTATCAATCAATGCAATATGGCGTCTTAATATTTGGAATGTACAATGAAAGGAGTAAACTCATGTTGCAATTTAGTTTGTAGAACTATAGTGCACATGCCTTGTGTATAATGATTTCACATGTTCTCAAAATATTGGAAATTGATATGCTTTTTAATCTTTGGGGGCTTGGTTATACAGCCATCTACACGAGATAAACTTTCTACGACTGTATAGCTTAAAAATGATAAATACTGTATTTTTATTCTTTTTTCTAATGTTCAATACACTTACATATTGGTTGGGGTCACCACCTTGATTATCTGCCCCGTATCTCCCCAAACTCATGTTTCTTGTTCAGTTCTCAAGTTGTGTAAGGAACTTGTTGGGTTCTCCAATTGATTATTTGGTATGCAAGTTTGGAAAGTCATGTCTCTTAAAATTTCTCGGATTTCCTTCTGCATTTCAGGCTCTGTTCTCTGTGTTGGAAGTGAATGGCACCGTTTCCCGTCGTCCTTTTTTGTTCCTGATTATGTTGGAGAAGTTCGTTGGATTGATGATGGGTTCCGGGGACTTCTTCCCTTCCCATTTAATTCTACCTTGGGTGGAACTGCATCAGCCCCACCGTATCTTAACGATAAGAACAAAGCTTCTGACGACCAATATGTAACCCTTCTCTACACTAGTTTATATAAAAACTAAAGTGCCCTATACTTGTTATGTTTTCTTTAGAAAATGACCCATCAGTTTTTACAGCTCCGGGATCTTGAACAATGTACATTCCTTGTTGAGCTGCAGCTTAGTCGACCTTTCCCTTCCCGCGGAAGTGACTTATCAACTTGGGAGGTACAAATCAGGCTGCTTTTACACTTTTTTCTGAATAAATTGCTAGCTGAACTGGTTTTCTTCTCAATTCAGGTGATTGGAGCGTTGCCTTACCTGGACAGAGAGCTCTCGCCTGCCAAGTACCGCTCCTTTTTCATCCCGTATCTGTGGCAGCGTAAGAATATCTTTGGCATGTACAAGCTGCTTAGAAGAGTACCAAAATGAAACCTTGGTTCTGACAGAATTACAGAATTAGATTCTGAGCTAGCATGACTTTTTCTAACCCCCCCTCGTCTCTTCAGAAGGAAAACCCCCGTTTTTGATGATATAGTTTAAACTGTTCTGATAGGTGGGACTTCCACAAAGTGTGTACTGATAAACATGTGACTAGCATGTATTTTAGAGATTTTGATGGACCCAAAGTAAATTCATATTACTAATATTTTGATATTCTTGGAATAGATGACCTAATTACTATTGCAGATCATTTTTCCCTTTTGGATGATTAGATGTGATAGAATTAGAAAGAAAATGAGAGAAATTTTTGGCCTCACCTATTTTTCTCTAGAAATGGAGATTCTGAGATGTACCAAATTAATGAAGTCACTGCCAATGGGTTCCCACCACAGTGGTGGTGGATTCCCCCTCTACCCATGGCACCAAGGATCAAAACCCAGTGGGGTTTTCTTTCCTCCAATGTAACCAAAAAAATATTAATGAAGTCACTGTTGCATTAATCAATCTACTTCAAAATATTTGATTTTGGATGCAACATTCAAATCATCGGTAAATTGTAATGTACACTTCTGAATAATAATAAAAAAATTAAAGAATTGTATTAATTGTATTAACGTGGAATTACAATCTCAGTTTTCAAACTTTGTTTTTGTTGGGTTCAAAACCAAAACCTAATCGGAGGAGGTAGTAGATTCCAACACATGGGCCACCACAACAGTGATGTCGTCGATCTTGCCTCCGGGGTGCTCCAATCCGGCCTTTTGAGCCTCCATCTGAAAAGGGCTAATGTTGTCCTTGTCCAAGGAATTATACAGAGCCAGGGTGGCTATGGTGGAAGCTACCTCCGCACAATCAATATCCCGACCACCGCTTACTTTATTAAAAGCCACCAGAACCTCCTCAATCTCACTCCCAAACATGTTGTCCAGCAACCCATCTGTCCCAAGTACGATAATGTCCCCCGGCGCCAATTCCTCCACCACAAACTCCAGAGCCACCTGGGGTCGGTCGCTGCCGACGTGGTTCCCCAACTGGAAGGGGCAGTTAAACCTCCGCTGCTGGGTTGGAGATTTGAGCATACACTTGGCGTCCCTGAACACCATGAAGCCGCTGTCTCCGACATTCACGGCGTGGAGGGTCCCACGCTCTTTGTCAAGGCTGAGGATGCAAGCCGTCGACGAGCCTTGTATTCCGAAGTTGTTCACGTAGGCTTCTCTCAGCACCTTTCCTGCATCCACGGCGGCGACTCCGACGGCGGACATATTAGTAGCCGCTTGTTTGGCGTGGTTCATGAGTCCCCTTGCGTACTCGCCGGCGTCGATGCCTTTCCTGGCCCAGCTACCGACGCCGTCCGCCACGCCGACAGTCTGGGCGTCATGGGAGACGAAGTGCGCGTCTTCGCCGAGGGGCTTTTCTGGGTTGTATTTGGGGAAATAGGACGACCCACAAACCAATTTCATTTCATTACGGATCTTCCTCCTCTTTGGAATTAATTCTGGAAGTTGATTCAACTTCCTTTTTCTCCCCAATTCAAAATCTTGGTCGACATTGCCAAAGCCAGAGCCAAGGGCACAGAAATTATTGATTGATGGGATGTTATTATTTTTGAAATTGATCCGGCCATAACCAAAGACAGGGTTATTGTTGGCGATCATCATCGTTGCTTTGCTTCAATTCGCGAGAGGAGCAAGAAAGAAAGAGCTAGAGCGAGAGGAGCAAGACAGAATGACAGTAATGAACGAGAGTGAGTGAAGAAAGTGAAAGAGACCTGATCCCCTTCCTATATATAAGCTCTCATGCTTTTCCAAATCAGATCAGAAATACTGATTTGACCAAAGTTGACCTGTTTTACAGCTGTATAAATTTCAAATTTCTTCCTCAACCCTAACCTAATAAAATAAACAAAATAATAATAATTGCTGTACTTTTCTCCTAAAATGGGCCCATACCATACATTTTCTAGTGCTAGTATGGACGCCATGTGTACGCCAAGTGGACAAAAATATATTTAAAAATAAAAAAAAGTAAGATAAGCCAAAATAAATAAATAAACTGAAGTAACAAACAACAACTTACCTTTCCCATCCCACGGCATCCACGTCAACCAAAATCTGGCCTCCACAATTTCCTTATAGAAAATACACGTGGAAATTCAATCATTGATTTAATTCCTAAACAATGAATGATCAATATATATATTTTTTTCACATCTCCGACCGGGAAGGATCTTGAACAATGTAATGTAGTACATTCATTGTTCAAATTCATGGCATGTTTACTAATCTATAATTGAATTAGGAGGAATTGACTTGAGGAGGAGTTGGATTGAGGAGAATTAAATTCCAGATTCCTATTGAAGTTGTTCACTAAACTATATGGATTGAGGAGAGTTAGATTCTAAATTCTTATTGAAGTTGTTTACTAAACCATATGAAATTGGCATAGGAGTGGTACTAAGTACTAAAATGTCCTCGTTGTTGGGTTAAAGTAGATGACAAACTTGAGAATTTTAAAATTGTCTGAGGATATAGTAGGTAAAAAAGATGAATTTATAATTAGTTAGTTCTCCAGGAATTAAAATACCACCTCCTGAAAAAACCCTAGGCCCTTTCAGTCACACCGGGGGGGGGGGGTTTGAGGTGGTCTTTGCCCCTCCTCCCCTACCCCCCATGTCCCTTATTTTTCCCTCACCTCTTCCTCTCTCTCTTCCTTCTCAACCCCTCTTCCCTTTTCCTTCTCCATTTCCTCAAATGCTAAGGATTGGAGTTTTAGTTTGTGATGAGGCTTTTTGCTGCCCAGATCCATATGGATCTCGGTTTTGTTTTATTTTTTTATTTTTCTGTTTCTGGTTGCAGGCAGAGGCGGCGGCGCCCACGTCGGTGGGATAGTAGCGATTGCTATCTTGATTTGTAGTTGATGTTGAAGCAACCACCGCAAAACACCATTATTGCCATAATTTAGTTGTCGCTTTTGGTCCACATACACAGGGTTTTGGCCCTAGTTCAGAGTTTGGAGTTACAATCACGGAAATTGTCGGTTTGTGTGGGCTGGGGTTTAGCCAGTGCGACATTAAGGGATTAGTCGGTATGTGGTTATGGGTCTCTTCGGTTGCTGGAGAGGATGTGGAGCGGTGGTCCTGTTGCTTTGTTTGTTTTAGTCTATCATTACTTTTTAGGAGTTTGTTTTATTTTATTTTAATTCTCAAAAAATCTTTAGGAGTTTGCTGTGTTTTTGTATTTTAATTTTCAGTTGCGATATGGATTTTCCGTTTTTGCAATTGCGCGGTGGATCTATATTGTTAGTCTAAGTACAGGAGTGTCGGGCTGTTGAATCAGGGGTTTGAGTATTTGTTGGTTTAGGCATAATTCTCTCTAGATCAAATCAACATGTTGTGTTTGGTCACTGGCAAGGTCTAAAATATCGATGGTAACGGAAATATCAGTAGTCCAAAAATACAGAAATTTCGATGGAAATATTGGGATATTATCAATATCAATAAAAATTGAATAAAAACCATGAAAATTGTAAGAAAAACTTGGAAATTTTTATAGAAACTTCGGAAGATGTTTATTTAATCAATTATCTATTAGTTTATCATAACAAATTTGAAGGGAATGCATTGCATGATGGGTTTAACTGATTTAAGTTGATTATATAGCGAGCTGACAAACACTATGATTGTAGAAAATATGTAGTAATTAATGAAAGAATATTAAACACATCATAATCATATATATAATGATTTACTACAATATTTTACACTTTATATATTGCACGGTAAGATACATGAGTGACTTAGTACCACATAGAGTTCCCCTTTGTGTATTATCACAAAAACATAAGCAACATGGTGGTTAAGGCGTTGGAGGAGTGAAATGGTAGGGGTTCGAATCCCCTTCGCGTGTGTACTTTTTTTTTTTT